ATGGAATTACACCTTTAAGATGCTGGAAGGAGTGCCAGCCAAATAGCTCAATGCACTAAAGTGCCTGCAAGCAGGCGCAGGGACTGGGGCTTCCATCCCTGGGCCTGCCTTGCTGGCCTGCACCCGGGGCGCGCTGGGCCAGCGATTGAGCCTGGGCGTGGTGGCATGCGCCTGTAATTCCAGCTCTTGGGAGGCTGTAAACAGGTGAACCACTATGAATCCAATCTAGTAGTGAGACCCCCAAACACCCAGGAGACCCTTCCCCTCCAAAAACAATACACAAAAAAACCCAAAAAACAAAAAAGATGCTGGAAGAAGAAAAATCTACCACTCCAGGACACAAAACTAAGGGGAAATAGCCTTTAAAAATGACCATCAGGCCAGGGAGACAGCTTGGCGGTCTAAGCGCCTGCCTTGCAAGCACAAGGACCTGGACTCGACACCCTGCACCACATGCTGTGCAGGCCCCGAGTCAAGCCAGCCACCAAAACCCAGCATGGTGGTACATGCCTGTAATCCCAGCCCTGGGGAGGCTGAGACACAAGGATCACTACAAGTCCAAGCTGTGCAGTGAGACCCTTTGACCCTAAACTGAATAAATAAAAGATTTTTTAGAAATTAAAAAAATAAAGAGCATAACCACGAGAAATTAACAGACACGCTGATGAACCACAACCAGGACACAGCCCTAGTATCCATCAACAGAGAAGCAACAGAGACGTTTCCAGCCATGAAGAAAGAACAAATGACACATATATGACAACATAACTGAGTGAAGCCAATGACTGTGGGGGCGGGGGAGGCCATTTGTATAACATTCTACAAAACACAAAAGATAAACACCCAAAATTAAGAATTCCCAAATGCCAGGGAACAGATGAATGGATCACTTTTCTTTTCCGGTACTGGGGATTGAACTCAGGACCCAGTGCAAGGCAGACAAGTGCTTATTCTACTGAGCCATCTCCCTGGCCCCAGATGAAGGGATCAGGTCATACCTGGAGGCCACAGTGCAGAGTTTGGATTTTGTTGTAAGAGTAGTAAGAAGTCACTTAAGGGTTTAAGTACGGGAGGAACACAACGTTTTACTCATTTCAAAAAATGTCATGCTGGCTGGGCATGATGCCACAGGGAGGCTGAGGCAGGACTGCAATTTGAGTCCAGCTTGGGTAATTTAGTGACTTACCAAAACCATGTCTCAAAACATCAATGATACATTGGAGGCAGAGGTGACCCGGCTGCAATATGTCACCCCACTGATCGACTGTCAGGGTGGACGTTGTGATCTGGCCAGCCAGGAGTATGTCCTTGTCTTCCCTTACTGCTCCTTGAGTGTCCCTTGG